GAAGGAGGAAAATGCGAGTATAGGTTAAGTGGTTGTTAGGGAAGATGAATAGATGGGGTAAACAAATAGTTTGTAAATTAACCTGCCCGACAGGTGTTGCCTTTTAAGTGATTTGAGCCAAGTCCGCTAGCATTCAGCAGGAGGAAAGGAAATCAGTTGCCCCTCTTTGCTATTTTTATCAGGCCAGCCCAGTTTATGTAGATACAGGGAAGACCCCTTCCAAATGCTTCTGATATAAAATGGTCTTTAATTCAAAGTATTCTTTATACCAAGTAGTCATATTTTGGGGTGAAATTTCCTTAGCTCCTTCAACTGCATTAAAATGTTTCTTTCCGCTTGGTGCCAGCCACATACACCGGGACTGGTGGGTTTGATCTGGCCTGGGCCTGCCAAACAACGATGACAACCACAACCAAAAAATAGCTGGGGGATGTGGTGGGTGCCTGGGGTCTCAGCTACTTGGGAGGGTGAAGCAAGAGAATCACTGAAGCCCAGGAGTTGGAGGTTGCTGTGAGCTGTGACGCTAGAGCACTCTACTGAGGGTGACAAAGTGAGACTGTCTCAAAATAAAATGTTTCTTTTGTTCTACTAAATATTGAGTACCTAGCCCCAGTACCTGACACAAACTTTTCAGTAAATGTGTTGCTGAAGATAACAAAGTGATGTTTTTTTAAAAGGGAGGGGAGGTGATGATTTCTTATATTTATTAATCACTTCACAAATGAAGACTTATACTCATGCAAATAAAAAGATGGAACAGACAAGCCCTACAGTGAGTGTTATTTGATCTTTCAAGTTTGGCTATGCAACTCCCTCTCCCCTGAGTCTCCACCACATATTTGAATTTCTCAGCTTTATACGCTCTCCTTTGGAATAAGGTTTACAGTCCACACATGGTCCCATTAAAATGCAAATATGTTCTCTGTAAACCGGAACCAGGCTGGCATCAGGCAGACACCCACACATTCATTTATCAGCTGGGATGTGTGAGTAGCCCGTTGCCTCCCAGGGGCCCCTCTCTGAGCTGAAACCGTGCGATCTGCCTTGGCCAGCGGCGGAGACTCCGCTAACCACCAGCTCTGCAGCAGGCTCGTGTTGCAGAGACTAGCCAGGACAAAGGCAGACCGGGAAGGCCCCGAGTGGGGACCCCATCTTCCTCAGGTCTCCTTCCTGTTCCCCCTGCTACATAATCTCAGCGCTTCCTAAAACTGGTGGTCTCAAGTCAAAACAGTGGTCAGTCGCGTGATCCACAAAGATGCTAATTCTCATCCCATCCTTTTTCATTACATGGGGGCTGGGGAGGTGTCCCAAATCGAGTTAACATCTGAATGTTTTATTTAGTTCAGCCAGTTTAAATTCCATGCAATGTTTAAGCTGTGGGGTTAATACGTATTATATACCATTCTCTGCTTGCCCCTTTCTTTTCTTTTTGCGGAGATAGAATCTCACTTTATCGCCCAAAGTAGAGGGCCTTGGCGTTACAGCTCACAGCAACCTCCAACTTCTGGGCTTTGGCAATTCTCTTGCCTCAG